TCAGCATCTCAGAGCGCTTCTCTGTCATTAAAAGAAAAAGTGTTAGGGATCTCAGAGCCCAGTATGAGTTGCTAGGTGGCACCACACCATCTGCTGTGTGCTGGTCACTGCCTGCTGTGTAGCTGATCCCCAAAGGTTCTCACCCTGGGGCTTTCTGCCTATCCTGGGCCTTTCTCACAGGAGGCTTCTGTTCTTGCTGCCTCAGACATAGAGCATCATAGGCTGCTCATGTCTTATCTCTGGTCCCATTGACACTCTCTTGCATTAGTAGAGAATTACCAATGATATCATTTTGCCTGTCCATGGGAGAGAGTGATACCATGCTTACAGTAGAAATCTAGCAGAAAATCACATGAGTAAGGAAACCCATGTGCCTAAGACAACTCATGTTTCTGGGTGGCAAGACTTGATATCTTTAGAGAGCAGTCTTCACCATGTATTAATTGCTGGGCAAAAACCACTTTACTGCTCTCCGCTCACTGCTTAGTAAAGCTACTTCTCTGCTACTCCCAGGTCCTGAAGCAATAACACGTCCTTTTATGCAGCAGCCACTCTTGGTAGAGTGCTGAGAAAGAGTTATGCTCTTTCAGTGACAAGTAATCCCTTAAGGCTAGAGAACTACAAAACTTCTTAGGTCTTCAATCAGTCTTTAGCAAAGATGAACTTCTCACAGCAAAGCCTGTCTTTCTTCCCTCTCAAACCACAGGTGGGCAGTAAAGGGCAACACAGGCAAACTCTTGAGAAGCTTCCTTTCTCTCAGGCAGTTGATGATGCTAGAGCATAATCCTGCATTTCTCCAGCCCATCAGCTCCCAGCAAAGCAATGTCTTTCTTTCAATCAGCATGGCTCTCAGCAAAACCACAGCAGACCCTGTATATCTGCTTTTGATCATTTTCTGTCCATTTGAAAAAATTCTGTCTTCTGTAAGCAACTCCCCTCCTGGGTCTTCAGTTCCTGACTCCCCTGTCTTCAACTTATTCTCCCGTCTTCCTCTGACCATCTCTTACCCCTCCTAACTCTTTTAGATTCTAATGATTTAAATCAAGGCCTCCTTGTAATCAGTGACCCATTTTTAACTTATAAAGGGAAACTCAAAAAATTCACCTTTCTGTCAAGCAAGACTCTTGCAATGTTGATGTGATTTTCCTGTAGTCCTTAAACAGCTAATTTATAATATCTCATTTATAACCTTAAAAACTTTGAAAATTTTAGCATGCAGATGAACCAGTGGAACACAGGGCACTGCCTCCACCTTTAATTCACTAAGTGTTCTGCCTTTAAACCAGCCATCTTAATATATTTATCTGGGTAAGGGTAGTTTTCTCTCAGTGTGGCCCTATCCTCAACATTTCATCTGAGACTTTTTTCTCAAGCTGATTTGATCAGTACAAATGTTCTTTTTCTGGCACTTTCAGAAATTTAGCATGCTATGATCACATAGTTTATCCTGTGTGTGGCAACGTCTCTGGGCTGCCTCTCCAATTTGGCACTTTGACGTTTACAGGTTGATTTCCAGGGAAGATGATGCTTTGCAAGGTTCTAGACGGATAGAGTACTGGACCTGGAATCAGTAAGACCTGAATTCAAACCTTGCCTCAGACACTTACTAGCTGTTTGACCTTGATCAAGTCTCTCAACCACTTTCTGCCTCAGTTTCCTTATCTGTAAAGTGGAAATAATAATAGCATTTACCTCCCTGGGTTGTTGGGAGGATCAAATAAGATAATATTTGGAAATCACTTTGTAGTAGCACTTAAAGCACTATATTAGTGCTAGCTGATTATTGTTATTATTATTATTGCCCACTCCTAAAACTACAATTTATGATCCCTCATCAGTGAGTTTACCTTTTATTTTACCCAGTAGACACAATGAACTCAAAGCAAAAGCATTTTACTAAGATATAGTATCAGTAACAATAAAATGTTCTCTTCATAAATCTAGATGCACATTGTCACAAATGCAGTATCAATTAGAGGAGTGGGCACAAACACAGTACGATGGTAGTGAGGCCCACGTGTAGGGAACACATGTGATCATGGCAGATTTCACTTACTGTTCTATACCTGTCTATGGAGTCCTCATCCTGGGCTCTCTGGATCTGCTTTGGTCTGCAGCTTGACTTTCAATTGTCAGGGCTAATTCTCCTTTGGATCTATAGTTAGCTCTCTTCTCTGCTGCCAGAAGGCTTACTCTTTGGTTTTTTGTTTTTGTTTTTGTTTTTTTTTGGCTAGGCAATGGGGTTAAGTGACTTGGCCAGGTTCACACAGCTAGTAAGTGTTATGTGTCTGAGCTGGATTTGAACTCATGTCCTCCTGACTCCAGGGCCGGTGTTCTGTCCACTGTGCCACCTAGCTGCCCCAGAAGGTTTACTCTTTAACACTGCTTCCTGCCTGGATTGCTTCCTTTCTGTGTTGATATGTCTGAAGAGTCTGTATCTGTCTCTGCTCCCTGGCTCAAACTGGGTGATTATCCAAACACTTTGATGAGGTGGCTGCTACTAGACAGATTCTGTTGGATATTGGATATTATCTATTGGCCACATTGGATAGAGTGCCAACCTTTCCAGGATGCCATGGGTGATGGTAGGTAAGAAGAGAAAAAGTCTTTCCTCCCGCACTGCCTTCTGGAAGAAGCATAGGAGTTACACTCTAAAAGCTGCCCCTACCTTAAGCTGCCTCGAATTCTCAAGTTGTCTAACTGTCTCTAGGGCTTGGCAGACTTAACTTTTTAAAGGTGACCCGGGTCATGGCCCATCTTCAGTCAGTCAATAGCAACTGCCCCTTCCAATTCAATCAAAGAACGTTCCCCTAGCATTTAATATAGGGAAGCAGGGCATATACACACTGTCACATTTAGTTTAACACCTTAGCATCTGCCTATATAGGATCCAACTCCAGTCCTTTTCCCACACACACATGTACATAGAATAAAGCAAAAAGGAAACTAGACCAAATACTTCTCTACAAAGACGTTGGTCTTCAACTAGCCTTCCCCCCATTTCCCTGCCACATCTTTGGTGTGACTGGTGAGGGGGAGAGAATCCTGATCCACACACCCCTGAGGCTTTCGGGAAAGGATCTGTGGAGGAGTCCTGGCTCCTCGTCTTGGTACCATGAGCTTAAACAAGAGAAAGCAGGAAATATGATCAGGATATACTTTCATTCCCACTTTCACCATTTGGCTGAAAGAAATCAACTTCTCCAGGTTCCGAGGAGAATAGGATTCCTAGATGTCAGCCTCAGCATCTCTGGATCTTCCACCTCGTGGGTCCTGGCCTTTGCCTCTGTGAGAGGCTCTAAAATTCTCCCAGATGTGGCGACTTGCTCTCATGGCAGCAAAGCTGTAAGGTGGTGCTGGTTATGATGTCATCCACACCTTCTATGTCACCCATGGCCACTAGGGTCTGTCTCCCAGAAGCCCAAATCACAAGGGCAGAGGAAGCAAGACAGGAAGCAAAAAAGGGGATGGCGAAGGAGAGATAGTGCCTTTTCCCAGTCTGCATTAATAGAAGATTAAATAAGATGAACAACTCATCCCTTTGTTGTCGCCACCCTTATCCAAGCACAGTCTGAAATGACTTGTTCTTGATGAATGGATCCTAGCTTTTGGTGATCACTGCTCCCTTTTATCTAAACGCTCACAGATCATTCCTTTAATAATGAGTTCTACCAGGAGAACGTTGTACACAGTAACAGCCATGTTGTGTGATGACTAACGTCTTTAGACTTAGCCCTTCTCAGCAATGCAAGGATCGAAGACAATTCCAAAAGACTCATGATGGAAAATGCTATCCATATCCAAAGAAAGAACTCTGGAGTCTGAATGCCAATCAAAGCATATTATTTGCTGTTTTTTTCCTTCCGTTTTGTTTTGTTTCCTCTTTCTTGTGGTTCCTCCTATCGGTTCTAATTCTTCTTTACAACATCACTAATGGGAAAATATGTTTAATAGGAATGTATATGTATAGCCTGTATCAGATTGTGTGCCATCTTGGGGAGGGAGGGGGGAGGGAGGGGGAGAAAAATTTAAAACTCAAAAGCTTATGGAAGTGATTGTTGATGAATCAAAATAAATTAATAAAAAAAATTTTTAAATGAGTTCTAGGATTTTGGTAGGAATTGGAAGTCAAGTCATTGGACTATAGTTTGAAAAATCCCCCTTTTGCCCATTAGACCATTTCCTTCAGTCTTTTTCTTTTTTCTTTCTTTTTTTTTTTAAGGCAACTGAAGTTAAGTGACTTGCCCAAGGTCACACAGCTAGTACGTGTCAAATGTTTGGTCAGAGGCCGGATTTGAACTCAAGGTCTTCCTGACTTCAGGGCCGGTGCTCTATCCACTGCGCCACCTAGCTACCCCATCATTGACCCTTTTTATTCTGCTTTTCCCAATCCAAAGATCATTGTCCCTGGTTAAGAAAATAGAAGCAAGTAAGAGTTGGGCAGCTAGGTGGCATCATATTGGATAGAGTGCCAAGCCTGGAGTCAGGAAGACTCATCTTCCTGAGTTCAAATCTGGCTTCAGACTTACTAATTGTGTGATCCTGGGCAAGTCACTTAACCCTGTTTGCCTCAGTTTCCTCATATGTCTAATGATCTAGAGAAGGAAACAACAAATCACTCCAGTATCTTTGCCAAGAAAACTCCAAATAGGATCACAAAGAGTCAGATACAACTGAAATGACTGAACAACAAAAGTTCTACCTTCTCTCATCTATTCATAGAATATTGTCATTCTGTCTACCCTGAGCAGCAGCTGGTTTAGCAAGGGTCCTGCTGAATGTTCATTGCACTGACTTGTCTGGGGAAGTGATGAGTTTCCCCTTGCCTTTGTTTCCCCTTCAAAGGTAGGGGACCAGGTTGCTACCAGGCTCACCCTCTGCTCCCAGAGAGTGCTGAGCCTGAGGAGAGATGTGGTGCTGAGCAGCACCTTGGGGATTCCTTCCTAGGCAATAAGAGCTTTGAGGACACCCTCAGAGACACTCTCTTTTCCTCATTCTAGGCGCTATGTGCTGAAGCTGTCAGATGACATTGGCAACTTTGGGGAGGTGCGGTTACCCTTGCTTGGGTGCCTCGGAGTGTCCTGGGTGGTCGTCTTCCTCTGCCTCATCCGTGGCGTCAAGTCCTCAGGGAAAGCAAGTACACTCACCCCTTCCCCTCCCCTCCTGGGATTTAAGGGTGTCCCCTAACCAGGGGAGGCCAGATTAGGGGGGGTGGTGAGGAAAGGTCAGGGCTGTGAAATGTGGGGGAGGTGATGGGATGGGGAGAGGGGAAGCAAGGAACATGGGAAGGGCTCGGCTTTTGAGAATATCTCTCCAGTAGGAGATAGGTTCTGAGCCAACACCTCCCTGCTGCCCCCCTCCAGGTGGTCTACTTCACAGCTACATTTCCCTATGTGGTGCTGACCATTCTGTTTGTTCGGGGGGTCACTTTGGAAGGCGCCTTCACAGGTATTATGTACTACCTGACGCCACAATGGGACAAGATCCTGGAGGCCAAGGTGGGTGTCTGGGTGTTTGGGGGCTGGAGGGAGGAGCAGTTGTCCTCTGCCCTGCCTGTCCCAATTGACCACTAGCCCTCCTCCCCAACCCTTGCAGGTGTGGGGAGATGCTGCCTCCCAGATCTTCTACTCCCTAGGCTGTGCTTGGGGGGGTCTTATCACCATGGCTTCCTACAACAAATTCCACAACAATTGTTACAGGTGAACCTCAGACCTTGTTCCTTTCACCCCTTTAGTGTCCCCACCCCTGACTCCACACCAGGCCCTGAGGTCTCTGGGTGGCCTCTCTCAGCCCCACCTCAGCTTCTCAATCTTAACTCTGTATAGCTGGCAAACCATCAGAGCCAGAGACACCCCCACCCCCACCCCAGATCCCCAGAGGCCAGAGACTAAACTGGCAAAGGATAAGGGAATGAGGAGGCAGGTGGAAAGGCCTGGGAAAGCTGAGGTGGGGGTGGCCCACAGGCTCAGGGAGGATTCTGGGAACCCAAGGCCCATGGTGGGGCTGGGGGGGGGTGGAGCCCATGGTGGGGCTGGAGTGTGGAGCCCATGGTGAGATTGGTCTCCAGGGCTGAGCCTGTCTCTTCTTGGTCTCTCCAGGGATAGCATCATTATCAGCATCACGAACTGCGCCACCAGTGTCTATGCAGGCTTTGTCATCTTCTCCATCCTCGGCTTCATGGCAAACCACTTGGGTGTGGACGTATCCCGAGTGGCTGACCATGGCCCAGGCTTGGCCTTTGTAGCCTACCCAGAAGCCCTCACCCTGCTGCCCATCTCCCCGCTCTGGTCTCTGCTGTTCTTCTTCATGCTTATCCTACTGGGATTGGGCACTCAGGTATGAGGGGACAGAGCAGAAACGCCTGGGATGGGGAAGGGACTGGGCACTCAGCCAGCACATGTCCAGCTACCTAATTGACTCCTCAAACTGGGTGTCCCATAGACATCTTAAACTCAACAGATCCAAAACTGCACTCATTATCCCCGCCCCACAAACGCTCCTCCCTTCCAAACGTCCCTATTACTCTCGAGGATACCTTACCACCTGGGTGTCATCCTGCAGCCCTCACTCTCACCCCGCCAGCCAATCTGTTGCCCAGGTCTGTCATTTCTGCCTTTGCAGTATCTCTCGAATACATCCCCTTGTCTCCTCTGACGCTGCCACCCTGCTGGGGCAGACCCTCATCACTTCACCCCTGGACTATTGCAATAGCCACCCCTGTCACCAGGCTCTCCCCGATCCAGGCCATTCTCCACCCAGCTGTCAAATTGATTTTCCTAAAATGTAGGTCTGACCATGTCACCCCCTTATTCAGTACACTCCAGTGCCTCCCTATTATGCCAGGATCCTCTGTTTGCCTTTTAAAGCCCTCCCTAACCTGGCCCCTTCCTGTCTTTTCAGTCTTCTTATATCTCCTTCCCCCCCCCCCATTGCTCTATGATCCAGTGAGACTGGATAAGCCCCCCCCCATCTCCTGACTCCAGGCATCTTCCTGGCTGTCCACCATGCCTGCAAGTTTCTCCATCACCACCTCTCGGCTTTGCTGGCTTCATTCACATCTCAGCTAAAATCCCACTTTCTACAGAAACTTTTCTGATTCCCCTTCATTCTAGTGCCCTCCCTCAGACATTACCTCCAGTTGATCCCTCCGTAACTCATTTGTCCATAGTGTTAGCATGGTATCTCCCCATTTGACTGTAAGCTCCTTGAGGGCAGGGGCTGTCTTTTGCCTTTCTTTGCATCCCCTGCACTTAGCACAGTGCCTGGCACATAGCAGGCACTTAATAAATGCTTGTTGACTGACTGTTTGATGTTACATCCCTTCAGTTCTGCCTTCTGGAGACTCTAGTGACCGCAGTTGTGGATGAAGTGGGGAATGAATGGATCTTGAAGAAGAAAACCTACGTCACTCTGGCTGTGGCCATCGCTGGCTTCTTGCTCGGGGTGCCCCTGACCAGCCAGGTGGGCACAGAGGCAGCACAGGGCTAAACAGGGCCACGCCATCTGGTGGCTCATAGGGTATGTGCCTGCCCTGCAGCAGGGGCAGGTGGGGCAGGCGGGCAGACCTGGCAGGCCACGCCCTCTGGTGGCTCATAGGGTATGTGCCTGCCCTGCAGCAGAGGCAGGTGGGGCAGGTGGGCAGACCTGGCAGGCAGCACCCTCTGGTGGCTCATAGGGTATGTGCCTGCCCTGCAGCAGTGGCAGGTAGGGCAGGTGGGCAGACCTGGCAGGCAGCGCCCTCTGGTGGTTCATATGCTTCTGCTGTCCTGGTAGGCAACTAGGCAGCAGAAAGGGGATGGGGAGGTAGGTAGTATCCCCCGGTGGTTCACATGACTTCTGCCCAACAGGCGGGCATCTACTGGCTACTGCTGATGGACAACTACGCTGCCAGCTTCTCATTGGTCATCATTTCCTGCATCATGTGTGTGACCATCATGTACATCTATGGTAGGTGTCCAGGCTGCCCTGAGGCCAACCCCTGACCTCTAACCCTCCCAGAGACTCTCCAGGGTGGGCATGGCCTCTGATGACTTCTCTCCCCAGGACACCGGAACTACTTCCAGGACATCCAGATGATGCTGGGCTTCCCACCCCCCCTCTTCTTCCAGATGTGCTGGCGTTTTGTCTCCCCCGTTATCATCTTCGTAAGTGCCCTTGTGGTCCTACGCTTCTCCCCCGACCCTCCCCCAACCCCTGCCAGCCCAAAGACCAATCCCTCCTTCTCTGGGTTTAATCATCCAGAAATAAGGTTCCTGGAGGGCCTCAGCAGCTAGCCAATGAGCAGTGGTAGGTGTAGCTATCAGAGTCAAGGACATGATGAATTTCCCGGAATGTAGGGATGGTCCCGGCCTAACCAGAGGGTAGAAGCCTGGCCTTCAGTTCAGACAAACTAATCAGACAAATAAAGGAGTAGAGGCAGCTGCTGGGGTGGAGGGAGAGTAGTGTTCTTGTCCATAAGCTCAGTACTACCAAAGAGCTTGTCCTGACTCCTCAGATGACACCAGAAACAGAATCACAGAATCAACATCCTGTCAGGGCCATCCTATCTGACCTGTACCCAAAAGGAAGCTCTGCCATACAGGTGGGCATCCAGCCTCTACGTGAAGCCCCCAGGGAGGGGGTACCCTACCACCTTGCAAAGCAGCCAGTCCACACTGGGGCAGCTCTTACTGTTGGGACGTTTATCTTGACATCAAGCCTAAATCTGACTCTCTGCGCCTTCCCCTCAGTGCTCCGGGCTCTGCCTTCTGAGGCCAGGCAGACCAAGGCTGACTCCTTCTCATGACAGCCCTTCAAATACCTGACCATAGCTCTTAGGTCTATCCTGAACCTTCTGTTTTCTGGGCTAAATATTCCCAGTTCCTTCAACCTTTTCTCAAATGGCTTAGATTCAAAGCCTTTCATCATCCTGAATTCCCTTCTTCTAAAATGAGATGAACGCAGTAGCCCAGATCGGGTCTGACTGGGGCGGAGGACAGAGGACACCCAAGGTGACTGCAGCTTTCTGGGCTGTCATTGGGAGCTTGACAACTACTAAAACCCCCAGATCTTTTTTAGACTGACTGCTGCCTAACCGTTCCACCCTCATCTTGAATTAATGAAATTGAATCCAAAGTTTTACATTCATCCCGATTAAATTTCATTTTGCACATTCAGTCCAATGTTCTTGGCCACCAAGGCCTTTTGGGATCCCAGTTCTTTCCTCCAATGTCTTAGCTGTCCCTCCCCACTTTGGGTCATCTTCAGGGTTGATGAGCATGCCACCTCACCAGTGTCTTCATCCCGGTCACTGATAAAAATGTTCAACAGTACAGGACCAAGTAGATCTCTGAGGAACTCCACTGGAGACCTTCTGACAAGTTAACATTGAATTATTAACACCTACCTGAGTAGGTAATAATTAATACCTACCTCTGAGGTTGGCCATTCAACTAGTTTTTAATTCACCTCTTTGTACTATTTCCTTCTTCCACATCTTTCCTTCTTTTCCATAAGAACACCAGAGAGACTTTTTTATTGAGTGCTTTGTTGGCTAACCTATATCTACAGTCACCCTCTGATTTACCAATTTAGTGAACCTACAAGAAAAAAGAAAGGATTAAGGTGAGCCTGGCCTGGCCCCTCCTGGTCCCTTCCTTTCTCCAGTTGCTTTCTCGGCTACTACATCCCACTGCTGCCTCACATGGATCTCCCAGGCCATCAAAATGTCCAGATCATAACCCTAGCCCTCCTCCATCATGTACTTGGGAAGCTGGTTTGTGAACCCAAAGCTGAAACTTTACAAAACGGTCTCTTTAATAATATGTTATTGAGGCTTCCCAGGAATTCTAGTCAAGCTCCCCAGCCTCTAGTTTGCAGACTTAGTTCTCTTCCCTTCTTTGAAAATTGGGACCATGTTTGCCCTTCTCCAGTCCTGTAGCACCCCTCCCATTTTCAAAGCTCTTTGAAACATCACTGACAGTGGCTCAGCCATTCCCTTTCAGGACCACAGGAAAGATGTCATTCAAGTGGGCCATGGAACTTGAATTCATCTGGGGAGCTGTGTTACTGTTCCCGTGGGCAGCCACTCCATGTTGGTCATTTTTGTTCCACCCTCCCTGATCCAGTGATCATCCTTTCTGTCCAAGAGACAGAAGGAGTACCAGAGCTTCTAGGCCTGGCCCCCGCGCTGTTGTTGCAGGAGTTTTCTAGCCTGAGGTCCATGAGAACCCAAGGAAAATCTCACTGATCATGAGGTCAGAGAGACTAGAAGTCAAAAAGTGAGCCACCAAACTGAAAAGAAAATAATTTAGTGCGCTGAGGTAGACTGCTTGGGCTAGGAGCAGCTTCAACTTCTTAGGGCAAAGATTGGGTTATGAGAGCTTTTTAGGTTTGGTTAGAGCACACAGTCAATGAGAGGCGTTCCTCAGCAGAAAGGGAATGGGAAAGGGGAATGCAAAAGCCTGGGAGTCACAGGAGCTGAATAAGATCGGGAGGATCTTCCCGTAGGGAAATGAATAGTTAGTCATCCGTAAGATAGCAGAAGCCTCCTTCGAGATAGAATTAGTCTGGCTGATTAAGTAAGGAAGAGAATAAAGTACAGCCTGAAAATCTCTTATTGACATAACCCCACAGCTCCGTGTTTTTGGCTTTGGAAATTTCTTTATGCAGGGAAATGTTTCTCCAAACCTTATGGTACTCATTCATGTTCATCCTCTCTCTCTGCTGTCACCAGCTCTCACTGTCCCATCCTACCCTGGCTGGAGTCCTAGCCTCTGCTGATCCCCCTCTTTCCCTGACAAATCCAAAAAGATCACATTTTTGGTTGGCTTCCCTTAGGCTTCTGCTCATTCTGAGCTTGAATCTTTCTGATGCTATTCTTTCAGGACTTTGACAGTTTCTTGTGTTTGTCCTCTATTATCTGCCCTTGCTTCTGGTTTGCGTATAGCTCTCTTTTCAGTCCCACTTGGTTGGGATCCTCATTGGTCTCTTTAGATAGGTCTCATTTACCTCCTCATTGGGACTGGTTTTCTTTAGGTCTTCAGAATTTCATTCTTAAAAGACTCCTGTCTTCCACTCTTCTGAGTAGAGAGACAAAGAAAGACAGAGGCAGAGAGATAGAGACAGAGAACTCCAGTATATGTCTCCATGAATGAAATCCTCCATCACTACTATGTTATGTTTGTGTCTCTGTGCCGGTATTGAAATCTGTTTCCTGAACTTTTCATCTTTATCCTCTTTCTGCACAGGTGGTCTGCAGTATTTCAGCATCAACAGTGCTTCAGTTTCAGCTATGGTAGATCTTAACCACATTCTTACCATAACCCCATCCTCCTTATGGGAGTCCTGGATTTCTTCACATGATAACCTTCTTAAGGAATATATCATTGTCCCTCCCCTCTTTCATGGCATGGAACATGGCCTTGAACTCCTTCCTCTCCTGGGAGGCAAGCCCAATTTTTTATCAGAGAGCAGTCACTTGTCCTCCTCCCTCAGAAAGGAAAATTTTTCACACTTAAAAGACACTGCAAAATTCGTCCCACTGTCCACTCTACTGGAAATGAAATCTCCAGTGCTGGCTTTTTGGATTGTTTGTGGGTGATTATCACTTTCTTCTTGTCACCTGGGTTTGTTTGTTTTTACAAATCACAGGTTTATGATTTTATCTTAGGGAGCTCCCAGAGAGGAAACTCCCTCCTTCTCTACAACTTAAAGTCTTAAAGGGCTGCATCATGGAGTATTGAGAAGTCAGATGACTTGGCCATGGATGCCAGAGGCAGGAGGGACATGAACCTGGGTCTTCCTGGCCTGGAGGTTGCTTCTCTCTCTACTATAGCAGGCTATCTCTCAGCCGGTACCTCTTACTACCTCTTTGGTAGTAACAGCTTGACAGCCAGCCCCTCCCTCCTTTTCCCTTCTCTCACTAAGCTGTTGTTCAGAGCAGTCTTTGAAAAGCTTCCAGATCCCTAATAGTGGGTGCAGAATCACAGACCCTCAGAACATAGAGGACCAGGGAGCTATTGGGTCTAATCTGAATGAGAATTCCCAAAAGCAGCCTCTCAAGATGGAGACCCCCAAGGCAGCCCCTTCCTCTTTTGGATGCCTTGTTATTAGGAAGTTTCTCTTCATATTATGGGTCCAGTGAAAGCATTCTAACTCCACCCCAACCCTTGTTCCTGGTTCTGCCCTCTGGGGCTAAGCAACACAAAGTTCCTCCTTTCTTCCCAGGACAGCCTTTCCAGATCACTGGTGCCCATCCTCTCCCCAAATCTTCTTTTCTCCCCACAAAATACTGCCATCTCCTTTAGCCAGTCTTTACATGGCATGAATGCTGTCCAGCAGAACAATGCCAAGGTGTCCAGATATTGAGCTTAATATTTCATAGTAGAGTCCAGCAGGATTGTTGCCTTCCTAGAATGGATACTCTTAAGGCAGCTAGGGGGCACTACAGTGGATAGAGGGCTAACTCTGGAGCCAGGAAGAACTAAGTTCAAATCCCACATTAGCCACTTACTAGAGCTGTGTGGCCCTAGGCAAGCCATTTAATTTCTTTAAGACTCAGTTTCCTTATCTTTAAAATGGGCATGATTATAAGAGCACCTACCTCCCAAGATTGTTGAGAGGATCAACTGGGATTATATATGTAATGCTTTCCAAACCTGAAAGTTCTATATTAGCTATTATTCTTGCCATGTAAAACAGCTGAGTCATATTGGGCTTGCAGTCCACCAAAGCCTCCAGATCTTTTTCAGACAAACCATTGTCTAGCCACAGCTCCCTCATTTTGTACTGATGAGTCTGATTATTTGTATCCAGGAATAAGACTTTACATTTATTCCTATTCAATTTCATCTAATGAGATCCAGTCTGCCCAAATCCTTTTGGAACCTGACTCTGTCATCCAATGTCTTAACTCTCCCTCCCAAATCCAGAGGTCAAGTGCCAACTGGATGTGCATGCCATCAATGCTTTATTCTAAATCACCGATCAAAATGTTAAACCACAGAGGGCCCAGCACAGATCCCTGGGGCACTCCACTGAAGACCTCCTCTGAGTTGATGTCAAACCATTAGTGACTCCTCTTTGAGTCCAGCCATTCTAGCAATTACAAATCTCTCTGACTATTCTGTCCCCTAGTCCATATCCCTCCAACTTTTTCACAAGA